CCACAGCACTGGCTGAAGTCTGCTGTGGGTTCTGTAGTCATTCTTTTCGGATTTCCTCCACGGCCTCGTGCTCTTCACCTGACACATGGCCAACTCGGACCTTTCTCATCGGCACTTCTGCCTCCCGGCTGCCCCAGAAATTGGAGCAATGATTCCGAGTCCACCTGCCTATGAGCACTGGATTTCCATCCTGCTGCCTAGCCTGCTTCCATTCACAAGACAAACATTTTTTGCCACAGTGGGGTATTCCAGGAGCTTCTCAATCCCCATTTGGTTCCGCACAGCAAGAGAGGCAGGGCTGAGTGAGGAATAAGACAGCAGCCGCCACCTATGCCAACAGCGGCCAAAGCTCTTAACTGGCCCAGAGAACAGTATGGCGGCAGCAGCAACGGGCACGTCCAGACAAGCCCAAGGGGGTGAGCTTGGCTCTTAGGGCCGGCACCTGAAGAGGACCACAGATGAGTCTCCACACACGAGCAGCCGGCAGCCAAGGTGACAAATGGACTTGAAAGCAGGCCCCAGGAAAGATTTGGCGGAAACTGTAGACATTTAGCCAAAAGAGGGGGCATGAACAGGGAGAGGGTCTGTGTGCTGCCCCCAAACATCTGAAAGACCTATGTGTGGGAAACAGATGTGGCTACTGAACAGCCTCGGAGGCACAATCAGAACCAGTGGGTAGACAGTTCAAGGCAGCAACTTTTTTACTTTCTACAAAGAATTTAATCACAGTGCAAGATGTCCAAGAATGGACTTGGCTGCCCAGTTAGTCAGTGAACTGTCCATCAGGGGAGGTGTTCAAGTAAGGGCCAGAAAACCTCTGGGTAAGGGCTTGAGAATTAGAAGATTTGGATTCAGGGACCTTCAAAGACCTTGTCACTGAGCTTCAAGAGGCGTGGACGAGGCAGCAGGTGGAATTTATCTACCACTGTAATAACAAATAGCCACCAGGTGGCGACAGAGCCACATCTTCCCAGCCAAGGAGCCATTAGCTTACAGAAAACCATTTGGAAGCAAACACAGCAACTAATGGATTCAAATCAACATTCATGGGCAAAAATTATGAATCAAGTCCTCAGTAGACCTTTAGTCCCCAGCAGGATCCAGAGGGCTCCAGGTCAAGTAAGTTACAATTTTCTTTGCGAGAGATTTATCTTTTTTTTTAAATTTTCCATTGAAGTACCACACACATACAGCAAGGTGCACAAGTCATAAGCGTACACCTGAATGAATTCTCACAAACACAGCACACTGTGTAACTAGCACCCAGCTCAAGAAACAAAATATGACCAGAACGCCAGAAGCCTCCTCTCTAGTCACTCCCCAGACTCCCGGTCCTAACTTCTAACACCATAGCCTAGTTTTGGTTGCTCTTTTCAGTTTTATATACATGGAATCATAGAGTACGGATTCCCGTGCATCTCGCTCAGAGGGCTACATCGTTGTGAGAGCCACTGATTTTGCTGTGTATGGTTGTAATTCCTTCTCGTTGCTGTGTGAATAAACCACAACTAATTTGTCCATTCTCCTGTTGATGGCATCTGAGTGATTTCCAATTTGGGGGCTGCTACACATTATGCTGTTGTGAATTTCTAGCACGTTCCCTAAGGAGAGCAAAGGTACATGGTTCTGTTGGGTGTGGGATTGTTAGGTCATGGGGTAAGCACTAGCAGGTTTCCCCTTTAGTGGACCCTACCAGCCAGTCTTCCAAAGCAGCTGTATTAAGTTGCATCCCTACTGACAATGTGTGAGAATTCTGGTGTCTCCATAGGCACCCCAGCCTTCTCCCTCTGTCTAGATAAGTTTGGGTGGAGGAAGTGTGGGGTCTGGAGTGGACATCTCTGCACACCTCTCAGCCCTCAGAGCGGGTGAGTGTATGGGCGACACGAGTGGGTGAGCACGAGCCAGAAGGAGGAAGATTCCATCCCACCAGCATGTCCCAGTGAGCCCTTCAGCGCGGGTATCTGCTGGATGGACAGCCTCAGTTCCTGGGCTCTGAACAGTTACCACGCTGAGCACTTACTGTGGGCCTGGCACTTTCCTCCATACTGGGGATACAGCAGTGAAGAGACAGACGACATCTCCGTGCTAATGACTCTCATGCTCTAGTGGGGGTGGGGAGAGAGTAAATAAATACATGTCACGTGGTGAAAGTTTGATAAAGAAAAATACAACAGGGTAAGAAAGTACACGGAGGGATGCTGGTTTAAAGTGGGTGATCACCGTATCACCTCACACCTGTCGGAATGGCTATGATCAAAAAGTGAGGATGCGGGGAGAAGGTGGGAGTGTAAATTGGTGCAGCCACTATGGAAACAATGTGGAGGTTCTTTAAAAAATTAAAAATAGACTTATTATATGATCCAGCAATTCCACTTCTGGGTATACAGTATATCCAAAAGAAATGAAAGTGCTGTCTCAAAGAGATAACTGTACTCTCATGTTCACTGCAGCATTATTCACAGTAGCCAACACATAGAAACAACTTAAGTGTTCATCAACAAAAGAATGGATAAAGAAAACGTAGGGGGGCTTCCCTGGTAGCACAGTGGTTGAGAATCTGCCTGCCAATGCAGGGGACACGGGTTCGAGCCCTGGTCTGGGAAGATCCCACATGCCGCGGAGCAAGTAGGCCCGTGAGCCACAACTACTGAGCCTGCGCGTCTGGAGCCTGTGCTCCGCAACAAGAGAGGCCGCGATAGTGAGAGGCCTGCGCACCGCGATGTAGAGTGGCCCCCGCTTGGCACAACTAGAGAAAGCCCCCGCAGAGAAACGAAGACCCAACACAGCCAAAAATAAATAAAATTAATTAATTTAAAAAAAAAAAAGAAAAGAAAACGTGGGGAGGGACTTCCCTGGCAGTCGAGTGGTTAAGACTCTGCACTTCCACTGCAGGGGCGCAGGTTCAATCCCTAGTTGGGGAATTAAGATCCTAAGTACCTCACTGCGTGGCCAAAAAGAAAAAAAATGTGAGGAATGTGATATATACACACACACAATGGAATGTTATTCAGCCATAAAAAAGAAGGAAACCCTGCCTTTTGCTACAACACAGGTGGACCTTGAGGGCATTATACTAAGCCAAGTAAGTCAGACAGAAAAAGACAAATACTGCGTGTTCGCACTTATACACAGAGTCCAAAAAAGTCGAACTTATAGAAACAGAGTAGAATACTGGTTGCCAGGGGCTGGGGAGTGGGAGAAATTGGGAGATGCAGGTCAAACGTTACACACTCCCAGCTCTAAGATGAATAAGTTCTGGGGAATCTCATATACTAGGTAAGTAAGAGGGTGTGGCGATGCTCTAATAGAACTTTATTTACAAAACCCGAAAGCAGGCCTGATTTGGTCTGGGGCCATAGCTTGCCACAGTCATTGCACTCCACCCTCTTGAGTTGCCATGTTTTCCCAAAATCCATTCAAATTGACAGCCTCTGGAATGATAAATTTTTTCAAACATAAGACAGCCTATCAGAATCCAGCTTACATCACTTCAAAGCTTGGGAAAAACTTTTGGTTTCCAAAAGTAAGAATACCCACTGGATTGAAAATCACAACTATGCCCTGCTCCAGACTGTACTTTACAATCTGGGTAATTATGGATTTGAAGTTATTAACTCTCTTCTGTATCAGATTGAGGCTTCTCTCCCTCTCTTTCTGACAGACTCCTGTCAGCACTCCACAACTTTCAAATGAGCAGTGACCTTTATCTGCCACCATGTTTATAGACACTTCAGACACCGCCACATGCTGTACATCCATCATTTCTCCTTTGAGTTGTTCTTCCAAAATATCAACAGAGGTGAGTTAGATTATCAGCAAGACTCCACAGAAAGCTGATGACCCAACACTCCCTTCAATGATGCTACTTGAGACTGTTTCCTCTTAGGCAATTCAAATTTTTTGTTAAGAGTAGTCAGTGGGTGGTACTTCCTGGCAGTCTAGTGCTTCCCCTGCAGGGGACATGACTGCAATTCCTGGTCGGGGAACTAAGATCCTACATGCTGCTGCGCGACCAAAAAAAAAAAAGGAGTAGTCACTGGGCTCTGGAGAAAGAGAGGTGAGAGAGTGTGGAGGACATCAGCTACATCTTTCTCTTTGGGCAAATGAACTGAAAGGAGAGAGGAGGTGACACCCCACTCCCCATATGCTTCTAAGTACCACCCCATTACCTTCCCAAAAGGAATATTCAGAGTGGCATTTCCTGGTTCACCTCTTGCCAACAATGAATTTTTGCGTGGCTTGTGGGATCTTAGTTCCCCAACCAGAGATCAAACCTGTGCGCTAAGGCAGTGAAAGCATGGAGTTCTAACCACTGGACAGCCAGGGAATTCCCCTCCAACAATGAATTTGAACAAACTTTAAAATATTGACAATTCAATGAGTGAAAAAAATGTTATCCCGTTAATTCTTCTTTCCCTAATTACTATATGCCACACACAACTTTTTTAAGATCCACCTATATATTTTACTTACCTAACTTTAAGCACAGACAGTGTAGCCTCTACAGTCAGATGCCAGTTATTAACACTCACCCTCCCCTAGTCGTGACAGCCAACAGACCCCCAGACTTTGCCAAATGTCCCCTGGTGGGGGCAAAATCGCCCCCTTCCAACAGAACCTGTAGAATATCAAGGTTGCCCCACTCACGAAGAGCTGGAATATACGGAGATACCTAAACAGCCAGTATTATCGCCGTGATGCCATTCCCTCTCAGCTTGTTTGACATCACGCCCTCCAGCTCTCCTTCCCACCTCTCTGGTCACTTCTTCCCAGCACCTTTTCCTGAACTGAAGTTTCAGAGGACTCCAGGGTCTTCTGCTCTCCACTTAAACTTATTCCTCTGTGGTTTTCATCTAGTTCTCCAGCTTTAAATGGCATCTCTAGTGATAAACTCCAAAATGTGCGTTTCTGCCACATAGATAAGATGCCTTCCAAACCAATGGGGGAAGGGATCGCGTTGGGACAACGGACTCTCCACAGTGGGGAGAACATGAGCGTACCTCTGGGGCAGGACTGCCAGGTCTTGCTCAACTTTCTTGGGCCTGAGGCCTTGGCCCTGCTCCTTTCGTCGGCAATTACAGCGAGCGTGAGACTGCCATATACACCTCAATCTATAGGTGGCTCCAGGTGCCAGTGCTCCAAGAAAGACCCATGGAAGGAGAGGTGGACGTACAGGGAGGCGGTGAAGTGAGACAACGATGACGGCTGTGAGACCACGATGACGGCTGTGAGACCAAGAGGGATAGAAGCCAGCAGGGTTGTGCGCGCCCGGCCGGGTCCCCACGACCTCGGAGCGCAAACCTCGTACGCTGTGGAAAAGGGTACCTAATCGACTGTGTCCGAAAGCACCTTCCCCACCAGCCGAACGTGAGCCGAGCGACCCGCGGAGAAAATTCGAGCCTCGTTTCCCGGGACCAATCAGAGACCGCGGAGGCCTATTATGACAACCTCGAGAACCAATGAAAAAAGGGATTCTCCTAGCGCCCGTCCTGGAGAGATCACACAGAGGAACGGTTCGTTTTTTTATTTTAAGTACAAATTAGAAAACAAGTCCGCGGCTGGAGACGGAATACGACGTTTACAAGGATGTGTGGAGAAAATTCGGTGAGCTGGTAGAACCTCACTTCCCCAAAACTTGGCGGGCGAAGAACTCGCAAGTCACCCTCGCGCCCAGCGCTCCGGCTTAAAGCGCGGGAGGGTAGGTGCAGCGCGCTGACGCCACACGCCGGGCCCCACCCACAGCCGCCCGCCCTTATAGCGTAGCCCAGGCGCGCGCGCACCATTGTGTGGCTGGACTCGGCCGCCGCTGCGGAGGGAGGTGTGTGTCCGGGCTCTCGCCGTCCCCGCACCCGCACCGCGGCTTCTGCCTTGCGGTCCGCCGTTCGACAGCCAGCCCTCGGGCCCCTCGCCCGCCACGGACATGCCGCGCGTCTACATAGGACGCCTGAGCTACAACGTCCGGGAGAAGGACATCCAGCGCTTTTTCAGTGGCTATGGCCGCCTTCTCGAAATAGACCTTAAAAATGGGTGAGTCTGGCCTGGGTGCCCACGTCCGCCCGCAGCGCCCCGGGCCTGCGGCGGCAGGGCAACGCCGGAAGGAGGAGACGGCCAAGGCCGCGGCGCCGCGTGGCAGGGCCGCCAAGATGGCGGCGGCGCGGGGCTGCGGGAGCGCGCGGGGGGAGCGGGGGCGCGTGCGTGCGCGCCCCCGGCCTAACGACTCCCGCCGGTCTCCCGCCCTCGCACCGCCCCTCAGGTACGGCTTCGTGGAGTTCGAGGACTCCCGCGACGCCGACGACGCCGTTTACGAGCTGAACGGCAAGGAGCTCTGCGGCGAGCGCGTGATCGTGGAGCACGCCCGGGGCCCGCGCCGCGATCGTGACGGCTACAGCTACGGAAGCCGCAGTGAGTCCCACCCCCGCGCGCTCCGCGTCCTTGGGACCCCGGGGGGCGGGCGCAGGCTTAGGGGGGCCGGGGTGGGGCCTCCCAGCCGGGCAGGCGCGGTGGCCGGGGTCGTTTGACTCGGGTGTCCCCGGGGCCCGCTGCCTTCGCGCCTGCCCGGTGAAGACACGGGACGCCGGAGCGCGGGGATTGGGTGGTGGGTTTTGCCTAGCCAGGGTTTGGGTGTTTGGGGGCGGGGTTGCTAAGCTGGGAGGGGGTGACGTGCTGGGCCCCTGTCAGCACTGTCGTGGGCTCTGCCTACGGAGGAAGTGAGGGATGGCTGTATTTGTTGCATGCCCCTTACTTACCTGTCAGTGCATTAGCTGGGAATGTGAATGATTTAGCCTAGAAGTTTGGGGACAGGCTGGGGTGGAGGTGGGGTCGGGGCGGGAAAGGGGGTGGGGTTTTAAGAGTAGATTTTAGTGTTATTCAAATTGGCGGGGGCCAAAGGAAATATTCTTTAGAAGTAATGTGGTAGTCTACCACAAAGTAGATTTAAATGAGCTTTATGCTGTATTTGAACTAGTTGGGGCATGTTATTGGGAGGAGGTGGGGGGATTTTTGGTTATGTTAAATGTTTGATGTTGAAATTGTTGCATGTTGAATTCAAACTTTTTAACAAGTCCTTGATGTTTCAATTTGAAAGTGACCAATGGGGCTGAGGCTGTGTCCACTGAGGCTAAGATGACTGCCTTTCCTGATTGGCCTTGGCTTTTCCATACATTGTGTGACCCTTGCCCTATGACCCTTTGGCTGACCTTACCGGAAGCCATGACGACAGCAGCCTTTTGCCATTAGACGCAGGGTGATGGTGAGGATTCCAAGGGTTAGACAAAACTGGTTAATCTGAACTAGGTGACTGTTACCTTGCGTGTTTTGTGGCCAAACCACCACCAAAAACCTCACACTGTGATGTAAGTACTTAGTGTAACTAGTAAACATTTTTGTAAAATGTAGAAATGCATGTAATCAGTTAAGTTTTATATTTTACAATGTTCTGTAAAATAAAACTTAGCGAGGTAAATTGAATAAAGGAGCAGTCACTTTCTAACAGAATGTAGGAGAGTTTAGTTGGATTTAGTCTATTTGACTTGCCCTTAATTTAATTTATGGCAAATCACAACTGTATCAAAGGTTTAGCAATATAGTAGCAAAGTCCTACTCCAGTAAATAAAAGTTGATATGTTTGTACTAACTTTCAAAAACTTGTATCCCTATCACTACAAAGCATCTAATTGTTCTCTTCATGTGATAAAGGTGGTGGAGGTGGATACAGCAGTCGGAGAACCTCTGGCAGAGACAAATATGGACCACCTGTACGCACAGAATTCAGGCTTATTGTAGAAAATCTTTCTAGTCGTTGCAGTTGGCAAGATTTAAAGGTGAGTGCTATAATGTGAGGTGAAAAAGATATGACTAATGGCTAAAAGGTAGGGTTTTGTATTGCTCTTTCATTTCTGAGGATTGGATTTAACGCATAGTTGTTTTTTCTTTAGATTTTTGGGTCTGACCAGTCTTGTTGCTCTTTTTAGGATTTCATGAGACAAGCAGGTGAAGTAACCTATGCGGATGCTCACAAAGAACGCACAAATGAAGGCGTCATTGAGTTTCGCTCCTACTCTGACATGAAGCGTGCTTTGGATAAGCTGGATGGTACGGAAATCAATGGGAGAAATATTAGACTAATTGAAGATAAACCACGAACAAGCCACAGGCGGTCTTATTCTGGAAGCAGATCAAGGTAACTTATTGAAGGATATGGAGAAGGGAGGAAACAGTATTTGCCACAAATAAAGAAAAATTCAATCAGCAGTGTTTCAATTGCTGCTTAATTGAAATTAGGTCAGTTCTTAGTTTCTTTTGTTGCATCATTGGAGCAATTGTTGGTTAGTCTATTTTTCATAAATGGTACAAACATTCACATCAGGATGTCTTGAGATAAAGATTTATTGTCACGTTTCTTGTTACAGGTCACGGTCTAGAAGAAGGTCACGAAGTAGGAGTCGTAGGAGCAGCCGCAGTAGATCTCGAAGTATCTCAAAAAGTCGCTCCCGGTAAATGTGTTCTTGAGTGTTTTTCTGAATTACATACTTTATGTTTATAGAGTGCTTATGTGTTTGGCAAGGTACTGAAAAAAAAATCTGGCTTTTATTGTCTAGATCCAGGTCTCGGAGCAAAGGTCGATCACGTTCTCGTTCAAAAGGCAGGAAATCTAGATCAAAAAGCAAATCTAAACCTAAGTCTGATCGAGGCTCCCGTTCGCGCTCTCGGAGCAGATCGAAGGATGAATATGAGAAATCTCGAAGCAGGTCTCGTTCTCGATCTCGTTCCCCCAAAGAAAATGGGAAAGGTGATATAAAGTCAAAATCCAGATCAAGGAGCCAGTCTCGTTCCAATTCACCCCTACCTGCTCCACCCTCAAAGGCCCGTTCTGTGTCCCCTCCACCAAAAAGAGCTTCAAGATCCCATTCTAGATCTCATTCAAAGTCAAGGTCACGATCCAGATCGAGTTCCAGAGATTAACCCAGAACTCTACATTCTTTGCACACTATTACGGAACACTTTCCTACTTGCTTAGGCAGTTACTCTTCCACGTTTGTACTCGGCCTCTTCTGCAAGAAGAGTCTCCCAAAAACAGGGGCATACAAAAATTGGATTTGTAGCCAAATTTGATGAAAAAGATGAGATTCTAAAGAAATGGCATGAAGTCAAAGATCTTCTCCCTTTGTAGAATTAAGATAACTTTGATTTTATAGCTTTTGAGCTAAAATAACTTTTGTAAAGATTAAGCTCATTTAGATTTTTTTAAGTATTTCAGCAGCATCTGCTGCAGGGGTTCCTGTCATTGTTATGTTTGCTTAATTTTAAATTAACCGTTTCAAGCTTTGAACACTTAAGGCTTTAGAGGGAGAACCCAATTTCCAATTATGTTGGCTTTTTATAAAGCTTGAGTTATGTAAGATTTCAATAAAAGTTTGCTACCAAGATGATTGCCTTATTGAATAGGTCACTCTTAAATTCCTTCAAATATTGATTATCTGCTATCTGTGGAAGTAATGTAAATTCTACTTAAGTGTAAAACAAGGCAAGTCTCAGACCAGCAATAAATTATTCAATTTGGATAACATTATTTTGTCCTGTTATTCAAATTTGCCAAAGTCATATTGGCCCCCTAAACAGGTTAAGTTAAAAATAAAAGATTTTATAGTCGATCTGTTCTACAATTTTTCCTAAATTAATAGATTTTTTAAATAGTGAAAACTTTTTCAAACTTAAATTGATTGAACTCTTCAAAAAATAGTTCCTGTTGTTTGGGATCTTATCTAGCCTGGTAATCCCACTTTCTGGAAGTGGTCATTGTAATTAGTGTTTTGTTAGAATAAGGTTCCGTGGTCTTTAATGTTTGTTATGTAAAAATGGAAGTAACCTTTCTTTGATCAGAAATTTGGTGTGTTATTCAAAATGGAAAAGCAAATATTTCATTTTCTACTGAAAGATCCTTAACAGGCACTTAAAACAGATCGCTTGATAAATCAGTTTTACTGATTAAAGTAAAATTCCACCTAACAAGTCAGTCCCCTTTAGTTAGTGGGGTTCTGTGATAATTGGTTAGATCATCCTTGTAGAACTTTATGTGGTTGGCTTGGAAAAAATTTAAATGGGTTAACCCTAAACTTTTGTACTTCGTCATGAAGGGTAATGAATACTGTGGAAACCAAATTTTATAATACTGCAAATTTGTAGGAGTTACTGGGTTACCAATTAGTCCATACATCCGTTAAGCCTAGTTAGTTGAGATTGCAGTTTGAGAAATGAATTACCTTATATATATATAGATATATATATATATATCTCTCTTCAGATTCTTTAAATAAGGTAATTTCATTAAAAGCACTCATTAATCTTAGTCTGAAATTAAGATGTAGGTTATATGGCTCAGCTTTAACATCTGCCTGGGAGCTGTCACTCTATATAAGGTG